ACACATTCGTTAGTGTTTTTAATCATGTTGTGTCTCTGATTGTTTAGCATCTACATTTTGCATCTTTTTGTGTCGATTAATCAATTCTTTATTATTATTTTTGCATCCTTGTCTTGTCTTTTGTAATAGTTTCTACATCTATTTTTTTATTTTGCCTCCATGTTTACATGCAGGTGCCCCCAGAATCAGAAAACCTTTATTGGTCCCACAGAGGGGAAACATATCAAAGATAAAGAAATTACACCATTTACAAAACACACATCCAGTGTCAGATACAGCTGAGCGACCCAGCAGGTGAGAGGTGAGAGTAGGACAGCAGGTGAGAGTAGGACAGCAGGTGAGAGTAGGACAGCTGGTGAGAGTAGGACAGCAGGTGAGAGGTGAGAGTAGGACAGCAGGTGAGAGTAGGACAGCAGGTGAGAGGTGAGAATAGGACAGCTGGTGAGAGTAAGACAGCAGGTGAGAGGTGAGAGTAGGACAGCAGGTGAGAGGTGAGAATAGGACAGCAGGTGAGAGTAGGACAGCAGGTGAGAGGTGAGAGTAGGACAGCAGGTGAGAGTAGGACAGCAGGTGAGAGTAGGACAGCAGGTGAGAGGTGAGAGTAAGACAGCAGGTGAGAGGTGAGAATAGGACAGCAGGTGAGAGTAGGACAGCAGGTGAGAGGTGAGAGTAGGACAGCAGGTGAGAGGTGAGAATAGGACAGCTGGTGAGAGTAGGACAGCAGGTGAGAGGTGAGAGTAGGACAGCAGGTGAGAGTAGGACAGCAGGTGAGAGTAGGACAGCAGGTGAGAGTAGGACAGCAGGTGAGAGTAGGACAGCAGGTGAGAGTGGGACAGCAGGTGAGAGTGGGACAGCAGGTGAGAGTGGGACAGCAGGTGAGAGTAGGACAGCAGGTGAGAGTAGGACAGCAGGTGAGAGGTGAGAGTAGGACAGCAGGTGAGGGTAGGACAGAGAGTAGGACAGCAGGTGAGAGGTGAGAGTAGGACAGCAGGTGAGAGTAGGACAGCAGGTGAGAGTAGGACAGCAGGTGAGAGTAGGACAGCAGGTGAGAGTAGGACAGCAGGTGAGAGGTGAGAATAGGACAGCAGGTGAGAGTAGGACAGCAGGTGAGAGGTGAGAGTAGGACAGCAGGTGAGAGGTGAGAATAGGACAGCTGGTGAGAGTAGGACAGCAGGTGAGAGGTGAGAGTAGGACAGCAGGTGAGAGGTGAGAGTAGGACAGCAGGTGAGAGTAGGACAGCAGGTGAGAGTGGGACAGCAGGTGAGAGTAGGACAGCAGGTGAGAGTAGGACAGCAGGTGAGAGTAGGACAGCAGGTGAGAGGTGAGAATAGGACAGCTGGTGAGAGTAGGACAGCAGGTGAGAGGTGAGAATAGGACAGCAGGTGAGAGTAGGACAGCAGGTGAGAGGTGAGAGTAGGACAGCAGGTGAGAGGTGAGAATAGGACAGCAGGTGAGAGTAGGACAGCAGGTGAGAGGTGAGAGTAGGACAGCAGGTGAGAGTAGGACAGCAGGTGAGAGTAGGACAGCAGGTGAGAGTAGGGCAGCAGGTGAGAGTAGGACAGCTGGTGAGAGTAGGACAGCAGGTGAGAGTAGGACAGCAGGTGAGAGTAGGACAGCAGGTGAGAGTAGGACAGCTGGTGAGAGGTGAGAGTAGGACAGCTGGTGAGAGGTGAGAGTAGGACAGCAGGTGAGAGGTGAGAGTAGGACAGCTGGTGAGAGTAGGACAGCAGGTGAGAGGTGAGAGTAGGACAGCTGGTGAGAGGTGAGAGTAGGACAGCTGGTGAGAGGTGAGAGTAGGACAGCAGGTGAGAGTAGGACAGCAGGTGAGAGGTGAGAGTAGGACAGCTGGTGAGAGTAGGACAGCTGGTGAGAGTTTGACAGCAGGTGAGAGTAGGACAGCAGGTGAGAGTAGGACAGAGAGTAGGACAGCTGGTGAGAGTAGGACAGCAGGTGAGAGTAGGACAGCAGGTGAGAGTAGGACAGAGAGTAGGACAGCAGGTGAGAGTAGGACAGCAGGTGAGAGGTGAGAGTAGGACAGCTGGTGAGAGTAGGACAGCAGGTGAGAGTAGGACAGTAGGTGAGAGTAGGACAGCAGGTGAGAGTAGGACAGCAGGTGAGAGTAGGACAGAGAGTAGGACAGCTGATGAGAGTAGGACAGCAGGTGAGAGGTGAGAGTAGGACAGCAGGTGAGAGGTGAGAGTAGGACAGCAGGTGAGAGTAGGACAGCAGGTGAGAGTAGGACAGCAGGTGAGAGTAGGACAGCAGGTGAGAGTAGGACAGCAGGTGAGAGTAGGACAGCAGGTGAGAGTAGGACAGCAGGTGAGAGTAGGACAGCAGGTGAGAGTAGGACAGCAGGTGAGAGTAGGACAGCAGATGAGAGTAGGACAGCAGGTGAGAGTAGGACAGCAGATGAGAGTAGAACAGCAGGTGAGAGTAGGACAGCTGGTGAGAGTAGGACAGCAGGTGAGAGTAGGACAGCAGGTGAGAGTAGGACAGCAGGGAGGACAAACTGCACGGTGCAGATTGCTCTCCAGCTGGTGAAGAACAAACCTTTAGCGGCTACATTTGGAAAGACGTTGGCAAACCAAGGATGCAAGTTGTTGTCTCTTTTGGACATGTTGATCATGAAGGGTCTTTGTCTTGGTGTGTACGGTAAATATGAGCTATATGAGGAATAATGTACAACGGTGTTCTTCTGCTGTTCCTGTCAGAGTTTCATCCAGCATGTACTTGAAGTCTGAGGCAAATCTAAAACGGTGTAACTTCACACCGATGAGATGTTGGGATGAAGAGAGGGAGGTCACAGAGAGGGAGGTCACAGAGAGGGAGGTCACAGAGAGGGAGGTCACAGAGAGGGAGGTCACAGCTCTCTCTGTGGACTGAATAAGGTCTGCTTCGTTCTCTCGGTGAAATCACGTCTGACGGTCTGGAGACGAGTGGACTTCCCCGTGTGGGTTTATCCTGCGCTTCCTCTCCTGTCATTGTTAATGTCTCTGACCCTGCGGGAGAAACACAGCTCAGTCTGTCCTGTTGTAAAGCTGGAGTTTCCCAGGGTCAGTGAACGTGTCATGAACAAAACCGCTGACACATTACCAGTGACGTGCGGTGAGGTTCATGGCTGGTGAGGCACTGACAGTCAGATTTACAAATATTATATTTTGACCTTAATCGAAATATTCGGTTATTTTCAAAAGCTTTTTTAGTCTGATGCTTCGATTCATTTTAAACAGACCGTTCAACAAAAGGATACCCAAAATCTAAATATTGGATTGTTCTTCCTTAGTAAGATCCCATTTTCATTACAGTTGTGGTCTTACCTTGACTTGAAGATGAAGTCCATGCTATCCTTCTGGACAACAATCTCTATTACTTTGTAAAAGTCCTCCTTATCTTCCTGTAGTTTCAAAAGTCTAGTTTGTTGTTTGTGGTAGAATTACAGTAGCAACAAGAACCTGTGGGCTCACGTGCGCCCCCTTCAGCGCGGCAGAGGTTATGGCTGCCTCTCCTGGTGCTTTTTTCATTGCCGTTGTATGATGAGACCAGCGAGCCTAAATATCATACGTGAAATAAGTTATTTAGAGACTATGGATGGCGAGGATAAATGTAATAAAGGGATCTACAAACATTTCATTGGTGACCTACAGTGAGATGGGAACAGGCATGCGCTTAGGGCCCGCTTTCCAGACAGTTTCTGTGGGGTGACGCATTCTGAGGTGAGGCAGATCTCATCTGTGCCTCACCTCACTCCACAGTAACTGGCTGGAGCGCGGGCACAAAATAAGTGCCCGCGCTAAATTAGTGCCCGCGCTCCAGCAAGTTACTGTGGGCTTACGTGAGGCAGAGCATGTGCCTGCCTCACTTCTCATCGCTCCCGTAGCGGAGCTCGGCAAATTTGCTGATTTTGCTCTGCCTCCCCTGACTGCACGTCGCTGCACATTACAGGTTAGAAAAAACGGTAACCAACATATATAACTTAGGTTGTGTTTAAATATGCTAATGAGGCGAACTTTGGTGAATTTAGGAGAAATCTGCAGACACAGAGATAGGAAATAAACTCCTGGATGTGGACTGAGTTTCCTCTGGTCTGAAAGAGGACATGTTATGGAAGAGAAAGAGTTTAACATCTGTTCATGAACCAGTGATGTGTGCAAAGTGAATGTGAAGGAAGAGAAGAAGAAGAAGGAGACTGCATCATCTAAAAACGGCATCTTTGTGAATGTGTTTGATGCAGAGGGAGCTTTGTCTCAGCGGAGGGAAACAGAATAATGAGATGAAGCTGAGAGGAGAGCTCCAAGGTGATTCAGAAACAACAGGTTTAAATAAAGAGGAACTGCAGAGTGAAGCTGAGCAGAAACTCACTTTCATAACCGTCTCCTCCAACACCAAATGTTGTTTATAAAACCCTTAGGGATCAGACGTCACAGAACACCGACACACACTACAAAGTGCACACCAAAGAAAAGACAACAGCGTGAAGTTGCCTTCAAAGAGCAGCAGCCTTGCATGTGTTTCTGAGGCGTAAAGAACACACTCAGGGGACTGAACACAATGTGCAGCGGAACATATGAAACACTATCACGTCCAAATGTGTTCAAATGAGATTCAATTATTTTACGTTTCAAAGGAAATACTGACATTCCCAAAGACAAACATAATATTGATATCTCCTGTAGTTTTAGTATTTCATGTTCAATTGAATTAGGAATTAAAGTAAACATGATCATTAAGAGATTTCTGTGTGTTAGTTAATGTTCTGTGGACAGTCCTCACCAACGACACGGAGTCTCCTCCTGCTGCCCTAAAGAAGCTCATGGGTTCATTCATACGTGTGTGTGTGTGTTGTGTGTGTGTGTGTGTGTGTGTGGTGTGTGTGTGTGTTTGTGTGTGTGTGTGTAGTGTGTGTGTGTGTGTGTGTGTGTGTGTGTGTTGTGTGTGTGTGTGGGGGTGGGTTGTGTTGTGCCGTGGGGTGTTGTGTGGTGCGTTGTTGTGTTGTTGTGTGT